TAATAGACTGACATAGAAGGGATGTACCAAATATCTCATTTCTGTTCAAGAAAAGTGTAATAAAGACACAGAATCAAAATGTGTTTCAAATCTGGCATTGAAACATTCAGATCTGTATTGGCAGGCAGAGTCAAAAGAGGGTGCTGAAGAATTAGGAAGTAATACAATAATTAATGACAACTCTTTATATATGTTTGTAGGTATGCATATATTCATGAACTTATCTCTGGCTTTTCAAGACTTATCAAGCTGTTACTATGACTAATTTACAACTCTTTACTTGATAAATCCAAGCTAAAATTTTATTCTGAGGGTTTGCTAGTAAAGTATATACTGCATATTTATCATAGGGCAGCCAGTAGTTAGTAGAGAGTAATCATTGCCAGGTTAAGAAGAGATAAAGTAGTTGGAAAGCCAGACAACTAAGTTTCGCCCCAATGATTTTTCTCTGATGTTTTGAGTAATGATAGGACACTCAAGAATTTTATGGACGAGAGTGATTTGTAGTGATATTCTCATGCATCACTCGGCCTTTTCCAGCACTCCAGCCAAGTAAATTCACCACATCTTTGGCCTGATATAAGGTGTTCAGGGAGATGAGTGATGTGTTATAGGTGAATTATGGTAGCAGAAATGGGAGGCTTCCTTTGAAGCAAAAGAATATAAATAGGACACTTTACGTTGGTATTGTAGAAGAGCACACTGGTAATAAGTGTTCTTGCAAGCTTCAGTCATGAAGGACATTTAGTTCTGGTTATACCTAAGTGGAACAATGGCTAGAGAAATCATCATCTTGTGGTCAGACAAGCTGAGGATACCTGAGTTTCTCAGCTTTGGTATTATTGACATTTTTGGCCAGGTTATTCTGTGTTATGGGGACTACCCTGTGAATTATAGGATGTTTGGCAGCACCCCCTAGCCTCTATAAATAGCACACTGTTTATCCTAGCAGCATCCTTCCACCCCCACATGACAACCAAAAAATGTCTGTCTGTAGACATTGCCAAATGTCCCCTTGAGGGAGAGTATAATTGCTCCCTATTAAAAACCACCTAATGATCAAAATACAGAATTTTCAGAAAAGAGATTGACTCAGTCTGTAATCACATCTAAAGAAATGAGTTTAATCTTTGAGATAAAAAAATATATATTGATACAAAAATCAACTAAATATTTTTAAATGCTTAGTGACATCTTTTTGTTGGAGGCTCATTAGGACAGATTTCATTTTACCTTGTATATTTTCAGCCATTAAAAACATAGAAGAATAGCTCATGTTAACACCATTATTACCTACTATCAGAGATTACTGAAATTATGTCCTTATTAAGAAAAAAATTAACAAAGATGATATTTATTGTGCATAAATAAGATGTTAGGGAGGGTCATTAGGATATAATAAATAGTGATATTGGATAAAAATGAAATGATTGGTAAGATATCTAAATCTTGCTTAATGGTGTGTAAGTTGGAGCAAATGTTAAAGGGCTGGACAAAAGTCTAATTTATAAAGACATAAAGAAGATAGCTGAAATACTGGTGCAATGATCCTTCCTCTCTGCATTTATTTTGTTACCAAATTCTTAAGGATATAAACATTGTAATGATAGGGTCTTATTAAACCTTGTTAATAAATAAGACCTTAAACACCTATGTTCATTACTGGTTCAAAATATGTAGTTATTAAATGTTTGTTGAATTAATTAATTCTGATTTTAAATCTCATAATTTATTTCAAATTAGTCACTTCCAATTCATTCCTACTGTTTTTGTTCAGTTTGCAAATATATTTTGCTTGGAATATTGCTCTTTTTCTAAATGTTCTTCCTGCTTCCAGCTTCATGCTCCACCATATTGCAGACAAAGATTTTTTTTAATTCATGTTTGATTATATAATTTCCTTGATTACTCATGATTGACTCTTATTGCTGGAAAATAAAAGCCTAGGATCTTTGGCAGGAAGCATATTTTAACATTTTATCTAGCCCCTGCCTTCCATTGCTGCCTCATCTTCTATTACTCACATCTATCCTCAGATATCCTAGCTATGCTGTTTTCCTGGAAGTTCTTGGAAGGAGTCAGGCTTGCTTTTATCTCTGTGACCATGCCCATGTTATTCCCTCTGCCTGGATTATCCTCTTTGTCTCGTCTGATTTGACCTAGTCTTGTCAAATACATACTCATGGCTCAATTCTTAGTCAAAAGGTCATCTTCTCTGCCTGGAATGTCCTATTGAACCAGGACTTTCTTTTGTCTTTCAGTGCACTGTTTCGATTTATACCACCTTTATAATGCTTATAATCAACAGCATTTATTACGTTGTATATAACTGTCCTTAAGTCAAGTCTTGCTGGGGTTTTTTCTTCCCAGTTTTCCTTTGAGAGCATGCAGGTGGGGAGGAAGTTTATTCTGATTGCCTCCCTCAGAGGACCTTCTCTGGTACCTTCTGAAGCCTATATCTCCCTCCAGCTTCCAACAACAAATAGAAGATTTCATATCACATACCATAAGAGCCCCCCAACCCCAAATATCTTACTTTTCTAGCCCCTCTTTAGTCCTATCTGCTTTTATCGGACCCATGCACCAGACTCTGGAAAAAGAAGCAGAATGACAAACTTTGAGGCAGGATGGGTTCAAATCCTGGGTCTTACTATGTGATATTGAACAAGTAATTATCCACAAAGTATGAATAATAATGGATTCACCTCAGAGGCTTGTTGTGAAGATGAAAACACTAAAATACGTAGAGCACTGCATTATAACGTGGCACATACTGAACATGCCGTCATTATTTGCTCTCCTGTTATATAAAGATATTACATCAGAGTAAGCTCAGAAGGGTCAAGAGTAACAGAGAGAACAATTTATTAGAGAACATACCAGTGAATTGCAAAGGCTTAGGGCTGAGCTGCTTGAATGCCAAAGAGCCCTATGACCTTGGATAAGTAACTTAAACTTTCTGTGCCTTAGTTACTTAATGTGTTAAATGGAGACTGTTATTCCTACTTCACTGGGTTTTTGTAAGATTGAGTGAATCCATGAAAACTACTTAAAACCTGTAATAAGTTAGCTAGTTTATTATTAATATTAACTTAGGTAGAAAGGCATTTTTATAATCAGTCTTACATGGTCGGCACCATGCTCAGTATTTCTCTTTTTCTTCAAATGCCACCCTTATTCATTCTCTTTGTTACTCACCGCCCCCTACCACTCCCATTTAAGGTTTCACCGTATCTCTTCTGGTATCTGGAAAGCTTGAGCAGCAGTTTACACTTCAGTCATATGAATTCTGGAGGACAACGGCCTTCCCTCCATGAGCTATGGTGATTGGGTTTTGATTTGATCCTCCAATTTCAAATTAATTTTCCTACCAGAGAAAGCTGTAGGCTGTTGTTCACTAGGAGTCACCAAGAAGGAAGCAATTCTTGAAACTAAACTTGAAATTTCCTTAGAGTCAACCTGACCAATTATACCTCAGATTGAAGAAAAAGTGCTTTGCCTATAAACCTCGTTCTGGCCAGGACCTTCGAATGACCCTAGAAACATATCTAAAACCCTTTGACATTTTCTTATTCTACCTAAGGTCCAGGTAATTAAAAAAAGAAGTCACTAATTCTGAAAGGTGATTTCTTTCTTTTAAGAGGAATGGGGCCAGTAGATAGTAAGTTTGGCTTTAGAATCTTCCTCAGAAGGTAATGGAGGGAGTTGGCCAATTCATTTTACCACCTTCTGTTTACATGTGTTTGAGAAGAGAGCAAAGGATCAAGTGAACCAGATGAAGGATGACTAGTTAAGAGAAAGAATTCTGAGTTAAATTTGAACTTATTTTAAAGCATACAGAGATATAGCATTTGAAGTTCACTATTTATGAAATTAGCATGTGAACTTTTCTCATTTCCCTCACAAGTTTTCAAATTGAAAGTTGAATACAGATTGATTTTTGTCTCTAAATTAACGGATAATATGAGTTGGCTTTGTGTATCCCATTAATATCTTTGACAAGTACTGTTTTATTTATATGAAAGCAAATATTAATAACTGTATTTTCAAATTTAATATAGCTTATCTCAACAAGATAAATTATTATTTTAAAAGTACCTCTTTCCAATAACATGATTTGAAAAGGGCAATTTATGCCTTTTTGAAAGTGGTAATATAAAATTGGCAGTCGTCATTATGTTGCAATTGATTACTTTAAAGTATATAAATGCATAATTCATGCATTGTGGCTCACTGATTAAAGGAATAAGTGACCATACAGATAATACTAAGATGTAGGCAAATTTCAAATATTAGCTAGAATGTTTCAGTCATGCTAATTCACTTCAGGTAATAGAGACCAAATTACTTTTATGTGATTTGCCTTCACCCACTCACCTCCTCTTGTTCAAGGGCATAGGTAGTCATGTGCTCAAATGTTAATTATAACCACACCCTGCAATCATTAATGTTTTCATAAAAATAATTACAAAAGAGATTTAGGGAGCTTTTTGTATTTCAGCGGTGATGTACACAAACAAAAAATGTGCATCCCTGAATGTGATTAGTATAGCCCTGGTAGAGTCTGTGTTGATATTTCCAAAAGTTGCACACAGCATTCCTGGCGGGTTCATTCAGGTGACACAAACATGCCCAAGTAAACTGACTTTAGTACAGAAGAGAATTGCAACTGTTGAGAACTTGCTCTGCTCGTTTTATTGTTGGGGATAGAAATCATACACTTATTGCTCTCCTAATAAATGATTCAGACCCTTTTAAGAATAATTAGTGCAGAAGCAATCCCTTTTTAATGTCACAAGGTGAAGTAAAGGAAAAATAAAATACAATTTAAGTTCTGCGTCTTTCCCTACTACACTGCTGGAATCCTTGTCTACCCACACAATAGATGAACTACCCTCTGTGCATACTATATTTTGCTCAGCCCTTACTACTCTGAAACGGGACTGAAACGGTCCTGATCTGTGGTGGTTCCTGGGTGATATTCAAGCCGAGCACCACTCACCCAAGTGGCAGAGACACCGGCTTTCTCTGAATCCTTATTACTCTTCAAAGAGCAATTTGGGTGGTTGCACGGCTATTAGGATCACACGGCAGCCTGAAAGCTGTCAGCACAACTGCTCTTCATCTTTTTCACACAATCCTGACATCTTTTCTCTTTTCTGCTGGACACAGACATCACTGTTTTTATCATTTTCAATCAAGCTCACCCAGAACGCTGAGGAATATATTCCCACTGAAAGCGAAGTGGAGATCGGAAATTATTTTACAGCTCCTGGAGCAGGAGCTGTGCTGGCTGCATGCTGAAGAGGGCTGGATCCGTGAGAAATGTAGCCTGGCTCAGGGCTGCGTCAGGGAGCTGCTGCTTCAGCTGCTAAAGATGGCAAAACAACACCTACCTCAGGTTTTTCAATGATTAATGCTACTTTAATAACCAGGAGGGAAGAGGATGTGAGAAATTTTGTGAAATTAACTTGTGGAAATGTTATCATCAGAGAAAGTGGGGAAAATCACGAGACTTGAACTTCTCTTCGTTTTGATGCTCTTTTTCTCTGGACCAACTCTGAGCAAGCTGACTCGGACCCCCTGGAAAGGAAAACCTTGGAAAGGGGGTAAGTGATGGAAGTTTTGTATTAAAGATCTAAATGGAGTTAGCAAGGCTCATCAGTGGTAACGTAAGGAGAGCTAAAGGTAGGAGAACTACTTCTGTTTGAAATAAGATTTTTATTTCAGGAAAGAGGATCTGTGTTGTAGGTGGCTAGGAAAAAGAGTTATTCTCTGTTATTGATATAAATATATTTTTGCAATTTTCGGCTTTCTGAGCTATCAGAGCATTACAAGGATTATTTCCAGCAAGGAGAATATAGGGCCAGATGCATGCTGCTCTAGTGCAAGGATATGTGAGGTATCCTTAGGAAGCTGCGTTATTTTTAAAAAAGAAATGGGTTCTGGATATGGTATATCCCTGAATTGTTGGCACATTTTGTGAAATAGTCAGAGGGATGTGTAAGAAGGGGCATGGTATGAAGTGCAGTGCTACTAACACTAATTTTCTGGCTGATGTATCAGTGTTGATGTATTAATAAAGATAAATTGCATTAACTTTATTGAAAAGAACATCTGCTGAATGAGAATAAGCCTTTCATTGCTTTGGAGTGTTGTAATCCATTGTTTTTTCTGCTTTTGAAAAATTGTGAAATGAGAGAGACTCTTTGATACTTTGAACCTTTTTTAAAGTTCAGTTGATTCTACTTTTCCTGAATGTCATTTGTGTATACTAAATACAAGTTACCTTCTGTGGGTGCCATAAACCAAAACGGTGCTGCAGAAATACCCACTAAGAGACTTTCTGAAGAGTGTTTGAGTCTTTGGGGAGAAATCTGATGGGTGATAGCTGAGGATTTTGCTTTGCAGAAGTATTCCTTTCACCTAATATTTTTATCTCGGCTCTAGAAATGTTTTCTGAGTCTCCCTACCTTTGCTTTACTGTCAGCCTTATAATGTGAGGTTAAAGAGAAGCATGAACATTAACAAGAAGTTTTAATAATTTATCACAGCATCTCAGCAGGATTTTCTAAATACATAGGTCCCTTCAGTTTGATCTTCCTGTTTCTCCTTTTATTGCATTAGGGATATTACAAATCTCCCACTTACTGTACCTTCGAGGGAAAAGTTCCAGCAGGCACTTAGTTTAGCTAGCCGGTACAGAGGCACCCTGGAGTGGGGCTGTGGATTATCCTTGAGCATTGTCAGTTATGTCATCACATTGCTGTATTTCCTAGTGTTATCATTTTTTTTTCTTGCAAACTGCAAGCTGTTACTTATGTTAGTCTGCATGGCAGTTTTTTTGTGGCTTGGGATCTAGAGATGTAGGGTGTTATCAACTCTACGGATGTCAGAAGTGTTAACTTGTACTTCCTATATAAATTTTCAAAGACAGTCGGCCCTTCTAGCATGTAAAATTATTATTTCCTGTGACAAACTTCAGCAGTAGACTTTGGAGCTCTAAGCTACCCAGTGAGAAAGTTCAATTGCTGCAGGATTTTAGAAAAATTGTTGACCTAGTCAAAAAGGTTTATTTCGGAGTGCTTGCACGTGTTCCTAGACATTTATTCATTCCACACAGCTTTAAATACAGATGCACTGGATTTCATTTGTAAATCAGGTCTGAAATGTTCCCTCTTTGAGCATATGACTACTTTTCTCAATGTACTTTAACTCAGCTAGAAATTTGCTAGCTCTGCTGTACTGTGATGATATGACTCAGTCAAGTTCAGGAACAGGCAATCATAGCAGCATATTTCATTTATTGTTAAAAGAGTCTTGTGTGCTTTGGAAAAGTCAGGCCAGTTACTGGAAAACTTTAAATGTGTTGACGGTTCGGTACTTTAAAGTTATTACCTTTTTAGTGCCTCTTTTTGTCACTGTATATGCATTGCATAAATATTTTACACAGATTCTGAGCTCCTGCATGTAGCTCTACCTTGATATGCATATGTACCATGTTGTAAATATTTATTTATTCATGAGCTTGGCTATTGATGGTTGTGTTATCTTTCAGTGGGCTGTAAAAATTGTGTTACTTTTCTCATTATATAGTCTTTTAAACAAATTATTACAGGTTTTCAACATTTTCTTTTATAGAAAGTAGGGGACTTTGTTAATTATTCTGTAGAGTATCTAACAGGTATACATATATATGGTGTGGGGAAAAAGGGGGAGAATGAGCATTCTTAAGTACTATGGCCAGAGGCAAAGAGGATCAAGGTTCAAAACAAAATTTTAGAAAGGGTTCCCTTAACTACTTTTTAAGACATTTGCTTCATATCAAACTGATTCAATTTCATTTGCTACAACACAATCTTTAAAACTGATGCTCTACTTCTAAAAATCCTGGAAAAAGTAATAGTTTTCTTCTGAAATGATTTTTTTTTAACTCACATTGCCTGTGTACATTTGGCTTAATCTGATTGAGCAGCTGTCAACCTCCATATGGCAACCTGCCCATGCTGACAATTTCCATTTTTGTTGTATTAACAGAAACCACCATTCTGACTGAAGGGGTTATTGGGGCAGGGCCGGGGAATGGTAGTATCATAGATCAGTAAATCACAGTGACCTGTGAGGAGTGGTACAAAAAACATGCGGCTAGGCAGCTCAACACAGTATTTATAAGCTAACTTATTAGAATGTTTGGGGAAAATGCCGATTATTATTGGCTACCAAGGGATTTTTAAGCTCATCAATGAGCATGAGTCTCAAATATAGGTTAACAGGCCAGCAAGTTATCCCTCGGGCATATGCTCTTCTATTTAATCACAATATATGAACTCCTTAAGGGAAGGTGGGTGTCTCATCTGATTAGTTCAGTGCATAGCATAAGTGATCATAAGTTTGCATTCATGATAAATTAACCAGAAATCCTAACTACACTGCCGGCATCATCTTCATTAGGATTAAAAGACCTAATTATTTTGCATTCCATTAGTTTCATTGTCAAGAAGGTCTAAAAGATGTAAAGAGCTCCATTCCAATGAGCATAACTTCAGAGAAGTTCACATTGTGAATTGTCAATATATGTAACAAAAAAGGGGACTTAAAAATATATTGTTTTGAAAATTTTCTGCCGTTGGAAATTAAAATTTAAGCCAACTTTAATATTATAGCCACTGTTAAAGGTGAAAATGGGTGGTAAATAAGTATTAAAGAAAAATATATGTAAAAGGTATACATGGGTAAGGCCAGCACCAACGGTGATAATCAAAACATGAAACATCTGGTGCACACACACTGATCAAACAGGACCAGCTGTGGGGAGGGGCCGACCCTGACTGTCATTAATGCTCTCCCTTCTCTTGTGCTTGTCTCCACTCAAATCTCCTGGAGGAGAGGAGTTCACCCAAGCTTCTCAGTTATGACATAAGAGTTAAACCATGGCAAAAGTGTGACATTATCAAAACTTTTGACCATTCAGTAGATTCACAAAACACTCATACTTGCTTCCCTTTATAAATTACAACAGCCAGTTGTCCATGTCTGTTTCTGCTAAACAAAGTAAAGCCTCTCTGGCAGTTATCTCCCCCACTCTCCCCCACCCCTGCCAATCTCTATGAAGGATTATTATAAGCACATACGATTGTATTATGTTATTTAATTCATGGTGCATTCAAGCACTGATGTGGGAATATTCAGAGTGCCGTTTTAGATTTTATGTAGTTGTTTGCACGGCCCCATATAATATATTGACAATTATTTAGGATTTTTTTTGGACTTTGCTGGCACATTTTTTACCTTAAATGTTAAAAAACGAAAAATGTTGGCCATGTGCTGGTAGGCAGCACATGGTTTTCGTGCTATTGCTTCAGATGTCTTCCCTAGTTATATGAGCTAGTAAAATATTTGCTTTGTTTAAGCAAGTATCACACAATCCAACCATTCACATTACTTGTTACTGTATAAGAAACAGACTTTTCATTAATAAAATTTGGATACTAATGATTTACTCTATCACCACACCAAAGTTATTTAAGACTTCCTGGTTTGATGAACCACAAATGGATCATTTTGTCTTTGATATTTTTTCCTGAAATGCCCCATACCACTACAGTAGCCCTGACTGCTGGATCAAATGGCGCTAAACTACATGCTGAAAATAGTAGTCCATCTTTTAAATAAAAGGGCATTTATTTTTTTTAAGATCAGAAGATATTTGTCAGTTTTTAGAGTACTTCATTGTTATGTACCTGTTTTATTTATTTGCCACTTTATATATGTTATTGAAAGAGAAATTTTGTCTTTGATTCATATTTCTTAATGTGCATATTTCCTTATACCTAATAGATGCTCAATAATTTGATGAACAAACCAAGTATATGGAATATTAAACTAGTAATGAGATATGACCTTAGATGTTAATTACACATTTTTTACTCTTAACTATGTGCTATATCTCACCATTCTAATGTTGGTAAAAATTTTTAACTCTATACTTTTATTACACCATTTGAATTTCAGTTTTAGTTACAGAAAAATTATGAATGTATTTATAGTATTGTAAAACTTGGAAAATTCTGGCAGATTCATGTAGGAAGTAGTGCAGTAAGAAAAAAAAAGCAACATTGTTGTTCAAAAGTAATTTATAATGTGAGATTGTGAATCTGGAAGCTGAACTGTATGAATATTCATACAAAATGTAGAGTGTTCTTTGTACTGTGTATAATCAACACTTCTGTTTTTCATTTGTTTAAATTATTTAATCTCCATCTGTATGCAATAAATACATTTAATACCTTATCTTTCCTACAACTGCATAGTAAATTCCAAAGCCAAGTCTGAAATGAGTATGTTTTTACTATATGTTCAAAAGATTATCAGAATATTTTTTAGATACAGAAATCAAGGAATATGTTAACAACTATGCCAAGATCTGTTGTAAAGATGCTCCTGTTCTCTAGTATTACTGGAAAAACAACATTTGATGAATTCAGCAAAATGCACATGAGGATTTGATAAGAAAAAATTGGTTTTTGTGAATAATAGACTTTTCTTAGTCTTAAAAATTATGACAGGTCTGTCTTATCCACTTCCCTCTTTGTCTTTATTCAAATTCACT